ACGAGGGAAGCTGCACGTCACAAGCTGTCGTCTGAGCCTTACATAGACCCCCAAAGCATACTAAACAGAGGCTCCATAGTAGTTCCTTTTTGGGATTACCTTATAGGATTCTATATGTGAACCCAAAAAGGAACTACTTTGGAGCCTTAGGGTATAGCGGCCTAAATAATTACCAACACTATTTTATGTGGTTCCTTAGTATAATTCTAGTAGAATGGCATATTATGGCCCCCAAACCCTATTCTAATTATTCAGGCCCCCAAAGTTTAGGCTCCCTTAGATCAGGATCCTACAGAAACGGCCCCCGATGTCAAAACGACCCCGAGATTGAGGCACAGTTACATTGCCATGTACCTCGGTACTCAACTTCAGGCCAGTGAGTCGCAATTCAGGGAAAGGCATCCCACAGCTGCTGTGTGTTCCTCCACACATACAGCTCTGTGCGCCCTTGGGTCACGCACTGCAAAAACAGGTGACCCGACTGCGAGCCTATCCCTTGCGGGTAGTTCAGAGCGTGCCATAGTTTTAGCGTGCCTTTTGCTGACAAGTAATACGGTGTCGCAAACATGAGCAGACTGCATCACTCTTGTAGGAAGCTTGCTTCTCCCAGCAAAAGACACAGCCAGTGCCACCAGCGGCATGGCAGCAGGTTTAGGAGAATCCTAAACCACATAAAGCAAATGACTATGACTTCGACTCCGACCGTGTGTACCATGGCACAGTCTATTGCTCACACGATATTGCTACGAAAACGAATACCAGTTGTTGCAGCTTTTCACGATCAGAATTTCAGAAGCTATTCGCCACTTCTGTTAGATCATTCTAGAATGTGCAGCGCAAGTTTCACCAGCCATCCGGTGTATCGCACCCAAAGCGTGTCACAAAAGCTTAAATGGTTGGGGGCAGGGCCAGCCAGGGTCCTCCATGAGGCGAAGCACGAAGATCAAACTCCCAACTCAACTTTCACTTCTTCCCACCCGAACTGAATGACGCAGACATTGCAAAATCCTTAAATTAAGCAATATACCTAAATCCATATCAGGGATCCTATCATGATTTACGGTACATTCCTCAATTTATGGACTTCGATTCACAAAGCTCGTTTGCACACGCGAAGCAGTCGTCATCAGGAACCGTCGAAGCGTTTGGGAATTTCCACGGGGAAAATCATTTCCTGGATTCTTGGGCAGATGCGTGCAGTTCGAATGTGGGCATGCGTGGTGCCGAGGTAGCACTTCTACCGTTTTTGTCGCCATGCCAATGGCGATACGACACCCTAAGGCTCCAAAGTAGTTCCTTTTTGGGGCTCATATATAGATTTCCATAAGGTAATCCCAAAAAGGAACTACTATGGAGCCTCTGGGCAAATGGACCATAAACCCTGTGCTACGATTTCAATGATTCAGACCCCGGGCCGCGACCTTAAGGCTTACAGGGTGTAACCTCGACTCCTCCAAATTTGGACCTCCGAATTTCTTGCGACTTGCTTTTTTTTGGGTTGTACACTACCCTAAACCCTAAGCCCTCGAACCTAAAATCCCAAACCCTAAAACCCTAAACCTCGCGAGCGGGCATAGACTCCCAAGCACATGCGCGAGGGAAAAAAACCCTGAACCCCAGAACCTTGAGCATGTCTCCAAACCGACCCCTCAGCCAGCATGGCATTCCAACTAACCGATTGCATGCCAGGCTTAGATATGACGCCGCTCGCAACGGACTTGTTCCGTGTGCGGTTGGTCCCGAGCTCGAAGTGTCCGGTTGCAGCGGGGTTTAGGGTTTTAATATAGGGGGTCCACATAATTACTTATACTAGTCTTAGGCTTCCATATTATAAATTACTACAATGTACCCCAAAGCCTTATTCCACTTATTAAGGCCCCCATATCAAGGTTTATCCGAAGCGCCGACAGTACTGTTATGTAAAATCAGGATCCAGCACCCAGAAACAGCTGTTGTTCTACATGCCTTTGGGGTCCAGGTAGGGTTTCGGGTTAAAGCCAAGTATAGGGTTTAGAGTTTTGAGCCTAAAGAACTGTAGGGTTCCAGAACCTGAAACCTACATGCAGGAATGGAGGAAGTTGTTTGTGTTTTTTGTATTCTTCCGGCTAAATTCCCGAGGGACAAAAACCCTTAAAATCCTAAACTCTAAGCCTAAGCCGCTAACGCCTAGACCCCTTAAACCCTGAGCCCCTGAACCCTGAGATGGCGTCTCGGGCTTGCCCAGTCTGCGCACTTGTTGAAGTCCCTCTCTGCAGTCCTCCTGAACCCCCCCCAAGCCCGACTTGTGAATTCTGATTTCGGAACGTCAAGTATGAATGGGTATGAATATCCAGACATGAATATACATGTACGTGTGTAACTTCATATGGACATATATATATATACAGAGATACCTATACATATACATATACATATACATATACACATACATATATACACATATATATATATATATATATATATGTATATATGTATATATGTATATATGTATATACGTATATGTACAGATATATTCACATACGTGTGTATGTAAATATGCTGTACTTGTAAATAAATATGTGTATATATATATATACACATATTGATAGCTATCATGTTCACCCATTTTGTCCAACAGGCTTCGATACATGCGTTGGTGTTGTACATGATCATGATACCCAGAAGAAATCATCTTCGTATGATCCGATGTATTCTGTGCCTGTATCACTTCAGGATGCCCCTTGACCCCATCTCCTCCCTCGAACCATGTCCTGCTTGAAGTTTACTGGGCTTCTTTGGCATGTCTCATTTTTGTGCTTATGTACATATAGCTCAGGGGGTTATGACATGTACTTGTCAGTTCAGGGTCTAAGTAAGGGGCATAGTCTACGGTTTCGGGGTTCAGGATTCGCGAAGGTCTCGGCCTTAGCAAGACCACTCCAGCTACCTCACCCCCCACGCAGGCACCATCTCCATATGGGGATTTATTTCATAGTTTAGTGCTACTCCTAAACCCCCCTAGGCCCCGAGCACTACCACCTCAAAGCGCACGACCCATGTTCACACACTAAGCACCCCCCATTGAAAGCTTACCGACCTACTTGCAAAATGTGCCACAGGGTCCAGCCCATTCCTGCGTTGAAGGTCTTACAGACATGACTTTAAACCTTACTTGGACCCTGTTCCCTAAACCGATCGCACTATGGCAGGTATCTTCCCTAGGGGTCCTGAGGAACCGGCCGGTCACTTCGAGTAATTCTTTGCACCCAAGCCCGAAACTCCATGGAACCCAAATTTAGGGTTTAGGGTTTAGGGTTTAGGGTTTAGCATAGAATCCTCACAGGCGCCTATGTAGAACTCTTAAAGGATCCCGTTTTGGGCACTCGGTTTAGGGGTTTAGGCTAGAAGGGCCCCCACCCTGCAATAGTGGTAGGGCTCTAGTATAATCCTTATAGTCACTACTTCTGGGTGGGGGCCCCTTCTAAGGTTTAGGGCTCAGGGCTTCGACCCCCGAGATCCCGCAGCCTAGATCCAAGCGAAGTCTCGGCTCCGCACTCACAGAAGCCCGACGTAGCAAGAGCGGGTCTGCTATACCGTAAGCTATAAAACCCCAGGCTTCGAAGCCCCGAAGCCCTAAAAATCGGAACCCTGAATGTAAGATTACGAAGGTCCGAAGCCAAAACTCCAAATCCTAAACCCACCGTTTTAGAGCCCACCGTGCAATGAATATAGTGTTCTCCCGGAGTTACTTGGGGAAGCAAGTGCCCTGAGCCTATTCTCTCTCATGGCCCGAGGCTCCGGGGGAGGGCTGAAAGCTGGGCGCCGGTTTCCATTAATGGTTCAGGTGTTTAGAGTTGAGGGACTACTTGGAGGCCCTTTTGACTTAGTAAGTCGGGTTAGTAAGGTGGGTTATGGGGATTATAATGGGGTTTCTAGGGGATACTAAGTAGACTTCCATTAATGGTTTACAGTAGAAGCCAGAAAGTTGGAACATTAGTATCCTCATGCCCTTCTAGTAAAGTATAAGGGATCCTAGCACTAATCCTCCTAAATCCGTGTTCCAACTTTCTGGCTTCTACTGTAGGTGTTTAGAGTTGAGGGACTAGCTGGGGGATCCAAAACCAGGCTGTTCAGTGGCATACTTTTTTACTTTCATTTTTCTGGGTTCCTATTATAAAATAAGAAGCCTAAAAAAGTATATACTTGTTCCCATTGGGTTACTGAAAAGCCTAGAAAAGCTTACTGGCTTTCAGGATTTACTTGGAACCCCCAAAGTCCCCTCTAATCTACCCCAACTACCCACTATGAAGGACCCTAAGGGCTCCAGTAAAGGGCCAGAGGGGGGGGTCCTAGGGTTTCGAGGTTCAGCTAGGGTTTTTTTGGGTTTAGGGGCTTCGGGGGTTAAGGATCCCTACAAGTTCTCGGCAAAGCACTTAACTCAGGGCGAAAAGTACATAGTGGTGTCAGGGATTCGGCTAAGGGTTTTTTGGAGATTTGTGGAGGGGGTCTCAGGGTGAAGGGTCTGCACTTTAGGGCTTTCGGGTTTGGGTTTTTTTCGGATGTGTTGTAAGGATGTTGACATTGCAAGGCTGCCTAAGGCTCCACTGTAGGGTTCCCTAAAGGTATCTATAGGGTTCCATACAAGGGATGTATACAGGGATCCAAAGTGTTCCTTAAAGGAATTTATAGGGTTTGTGGTCTATATGCACAGGCTCGTGTTCAAGCGTGTTTTCTGCAAAGATCGTGCCTCTATCGGGCTTCGTGGAGACTATTGGGGTTAAGACGGTCTCCGTTTTCGGATGATGACCGTATTCATGATTGATAGCGTTTTGCTTTCTTCTTCAGCCCTGCGAAGCCGAGGTCGACATCCATTCAATTCCCGTAAGAAACCCCATACTCAAAAAACTAACCGAGCCTTAATTATGAATGGCCACGGTACTGCATGAAGCGAACTCGTACCAGATCGCAGTGACTTCGGCTCGAGTTTCTTCGAGTGGGAAGGGAAGTGGCGAAGAGTCAAAATGATGTGCACGTGCCTTTTCGAAGGGGGCGCTGCTGCCGCCGCCGCCTCGAGGATCGCCACTGCGAATGACGGGCTTGGCTGTTGCATCCATGCCTCAAGCTCGGGCACAACTCCATGGAAGTCTTTGCCGGTGCCGTCACGGAACACTGCAGCGCTACAAGGTACGAGCGGATTCTGTAGAGCCGCGTGGAGTTTCGCTCTTGGGGCAGTTGCCTTGGCGAGAGCAAGACGATCGCGGCCAAGTTTGGTGCTTCATGGCGTCCAGCAGCAAGTCACAGAAGTGCTGGAATCTATGGACGACATACCCAGCCCCCACTTCGTGTCAGGGGATATAACATCTGATGTAACCGTGCTGAAGGGCTCAGTGCCCTTGTGTTGGCCCATCGACGTAGAGGCCCTGCTGGACGTGTGCAGGCAAGCTCCATTTGGACGGGGCCAGGAGACGGTCATGGATCTTAATGTGCGCAGCGTCATGGAAACTGCGGAGGTTGTCGTCCAGTGGCCTGACCTGCCAGAAGTCTTAAACAAGGTAGAAACAGAGCTGCTGCCTGACACTATCCTCCGTGCGGAATTCGACAAGCTTCTGATATACAGACCAGGCGATTTTTTCAAAGCGCTCGGATAATCATGTGGCTACACTCATAGCCATCGCGGGTTGCCCTCACCGAGGCGGAGCGGTAGTCTTCCAAGAGGCAGACGCTGAGGTTGCACTTTGGGATGGTGGCTGTGGATCCTGGTGCTGTTGGCTGACATCCAGCAAGCACGAGATACGGCCCATCCTGGACGGACATCGGATCGTTGCAACCTACAAGGTGTTCGCTGAGCCGCGCTGAACGACTCGTGGGGACCAGAATGCGACTGCCCTTGCCGACAGGCTGCGTGAATGCATTCCAGCGCTGGAGACAGTGCTACAGGAAAAGCACTTGCGTGATGTCGGGTTCCTACTCCATCACGAGTACAGCTTCGACGGTAGACCGCAGCTGGACTTTTGGAGACTTGTTGGCCGCGACAGGGCTTTGTGGTTGGCCCTGGAATCTCTTGGCTTGGAGCTCCAGGTTCGTGAAGTGAAGCTCCTGCACGAGTTCTATCCGGAGAATCATGATACAGGCGAAGCGGTGCCGGTGCATCTGCAATGCCGCGTGGCAGAGGCCGTGACCAAGCTCTCTATCGACTATGGACCCTGGGAGCGGCTGTTGTCGGACCCTGCGGCGGCTTTCCGGGGCGATGCTGAGAACAGAGTCCAACTAACCAAGGAGGCAGCTTCTGTGTTTGGCGTCAAAGCGCTGCGAGCTGGTGATGCCCTGGAGGTGCTCCGGGACTTTCCTGGAACTGAGTGGGTCGATCCTGAAATTGGCTTCTGGCCTGCGATGGGCTGCCTCTGGTGCATCTCGCGCGACAGGCTGCTGCAGAGGTTTAGGACCAGCGATCCCGATGGTGGCGCGGAGGGGCTTTGGGGCAATGAAGGCACATTCAGCATCTACTGGTACAAGGCGGCTGTGCTCGTGGCTCGGATTCGTGACGACGACTCTTTGCGTTTCGACAGCGACATCGACTTGCGCGGTTGAGACATGATCTAAGCAGCGAGCTCGCAAAAAACCAGCGTCTCGCAGACAGTGCTGAGTACTCCAAGCTCTCTATTTAAGGTATTCATCTTACCATTCTACTTTGCACTTCAACTTCTTTGCCAAAGCCCTTTCGGTTAATCGACGGCGTAGTTAAATCTCCACACCCACAGCCTTAAATCGCAGAATCCTGCCCTTCGCTGGTATCAGGGAGCATTCGGTTTAGCAAACGGAAGAAGAGGGACACTCCTCAAGCCGAAGTCATTCAGGAAACCGGTCCGACTCGGAAGTGTGATTTGTAGGAACCGGCTGCATGGCAAAGAGCAGTCAAGCCCACTGCTGTTGGTGTCATTGTGGGTGATTCAGCTTTCTTTCCGCGGTGTGTTTGGGATTTCTGAAGCAACGATCACGAGTCTCAGCACAAGTCAGCCGTACAAACGTAGTCGCCGTCAGGTGGTGCGAGTTGTTTTGGGGGCAGTAGTGTAGTGTAGTCCTAGTGCTCGTCGGCGTCGATATAGTGGGAGCGGCATCTTTCAAACGTGAACAGCGAAAACGAGTTGAAGAAGAAGATGAACAACCCCAACCCAACCCCTTGAACAATTCTTTCGTGGACCTTCACAGGCCTTTCCAACTTCAGAACCCTATCACCTGTATTTCCGTTCCAGACCCTGTATGCCATGTGAGTGTGGATCCCTGGTTGAGCACTGCCTGGTCATCAGCACACATGACGGGTTGCAGTTGTTGATATCCAGCCCCCGCATGTCTACCATAACCACTGCGACAGGCACACGCAGACAGAAACCCTATAACCACTACAGCCACAACTCTGAACCGCAAAACTCAAAACCTCCATACTTTGAATCTTGCTCTCTAAATTCTAAATAAAGTTCCAAAGCTCGAAAAGCCCTCGGCCCTGATACCCCATAATTGAAAATACTATCACTGCAAGAATTCCCATAGGGGTTCCTGATCATAAGTAGAATATCATGTACCACCAAACCCTATTCTACGGTTGATGATATAAATCCCGCATGACCGATAGTAAGGAATATACCATAGTTACCATAGCTTAGGGTCCTTAAGGTAATGCAGGATTAAAATCATCAACCGTAGTTCTGAAATCCCTGAATGAAGCCCTCAAGCATAGAGCTTGTTGTTCGACTGTTGCCATCTGCAGCCCCACAAATGCGGCAAATGCCTTTAGCCTGTAGAACCCAAAGCCCGTAAATCCGTAAGCCCCCCGGATATAAGCAAAGCGAGGAATCAAGCATCAGCAACCGAAAGCGAAGATAAACACACACACACACACACAAACACACACACACACACACACAGACACACACAGACACACACAGACACACACAGACACACACACACACACAGACACACACACACGCACAGACACACACACACACACACACAGACACACACACACACACACACACAGACACACACACAGACACACACAGACACACACACAAGTCACACACAGACACACACAGACACACACAGACACACACAGACACACACAGACACACACAGACACACACAGACACACAGACACACACAGACACACACAGACACACACAGACACACACAGACACACACAGACACACACAGACACACACAGACACACACAGACACACACAGACACACACAGACACACACAGACACACACACACACAGACACACACAGACACACACAGACACACAGACACAAGAGACACAGACACACAGACACACAGACACACAGACACACAGACACACAGACACACACACACACACACACACCACACACACACGCACATCTTGATGCATACATGTATATATATATATATATGCATATGTATACACTCCTGCATACGCATACACAGATACATACATGCCTACATACAGACCTGCAGACTTCATAAAACACATACATACCTAAGTAGACGAGTACCCACGCGCATTCTCTACATATGTAGACCTATACACACCCTAAACCCTTTACCCTACACCCTACACCGTGGGTCTGTAGGTTCGCGGTGATGGCGCCGGGGCAGCCTTTGCTCCCTGGCACAGCGCTGTCAAAGGAGTGTTTCAGGGTTAGTTTTCTGCTCCATCGTTCTCAGGCGATTATGATTGAGTTCAGCCTTCAGTTGTGAGTTCATTGAATGTGCTATTGTGAGAGAGAGAGAGAGAGAGAGAGAGAGAGAAAAAGAAAAACAAACCACAGAAGCTGTATAAGGCTAAGGTTTAGCCGTATGGAGGGTTGGCACAAGTCAGGGGACGAAGCATCAGGATCGGAGCAACTATTTTCCAACCCTGTAAAATCTGCAGTGATAGAGAATGCCACAGTGCCCTTAATGTAGAAGCCTAAAAATAATTACCTATCTTGTTCCTTAGGGTTCGTTACTTTATCCGCATAATACAGGAGCCCAAAACCCTATTCTAACTATTAAGGCCCCAAATCCTAGTATAGATCCCGTATAGAACCCTCTAAGGAAGCCTTCAAAAGGAACCCTATTCTAATTGTTAAAGCAGCCCGAAACCCTAAACCCTAAACGTTATTAAAGCTCAACTAGCTATGAAACCTTAGCTTTGTCCAGCTGTTCAACCAAGATTCCCTGCAATGCGGGTTTCGTCCTTGCTAGGTAGGAGGGAAAAAACATTATTAAAGCCCCGACATTATGTCGGGTCTACGTCGGTTGAGTTTCAGTTTCAGGGCTTTGGTCCTGTGGATTGCTTTGACCTTGGGTTGGAGGGCTTAGGGTTAAGTAAGGGTTTTGGCTATGGATTTTGGAGTTTAAGCTTTAGATCTGAAGGTTTAAGGTTCAGGTTCAGGGTTTTGGGTACTGGTTTTGGAGTTTAGGCTTTAGATTTTAAGGCTTAGGGTTCAGGTGAAGGGTTTTGGGTACTGGTTTTTCCCGAAAGCATCGCGAAGGGTTCTTCCGTGTGGAACGCCGCAGCTGAGTACATAGATGACAGACATCGAATCAACTTACTTGACTCCATACTTTACTCTACACTCTACACTTGAGACTTGACTCTACACTTGATACTTACTTACTTACTTGACCCCTATGACTGACTCTCTACACTTGACACTTGACTCTATGATACTTGACTCTACACTTGATACTTGACTCTATGTTATGCTTACGACTTACTTACTTACTTACTTACTTACTTACTTCAATCTACTTACTAACTTACTTGACACTTGACACTGGACTCTATGCTATCTCTATACTTACTTATACTTACTTATACTTACTTACTTACTTACTTGACTTGCTTAGTTACTTACTTACTTACCTACTTACTTACTTTTACTTACTTACTTACTTACTTACTTACTTGACTCTATGCCTCTATGACTTACTCTCTACATCTCGGTATCTAATTCTCTCTTTTAAAGCCAGGGGGTGGCACCGTTGTCGTCCATCGGGAATGCAACCCTTCCCAGGGATTCGCCTCCTCGGGCGTTCAAACGCGAGGTAAAGTTACACATTTTAGGGTTCCCGCGCAACCCTTCCCAGGGATTCGCTGCCTCGGGCGTTCAAACGCGAGGTAAAGTTACACATTTTAGGCGCCCGGGTGAACCCTTCACAGGGATTCGCCTCCTCGGGCGTTCAAACGCGAGGTAAAGTTACACATTTTGCGGTTCCCGCGCAACCCTTCACAGGGATTGGAACTCTCGGGCGTTCAAACGCGAGGTAAAGTTACACATTTTAGGCGCGCGGGTGAACCTTTCACAGGGATTCGCCTCCTCGGGCGTTCAAACGCGATGTAAAGTTACACATTTTGCGGTTCCCGCGCAACCCTTCACAGGGATTGGAACTCTCGGGCGTTCAAACGCGAGGTAAAGTTACACATTTTAGGCGCGCGGGTGAACCCTTCACAGGGATTCGCCTCCTCGGGCGTTCAAACGCGAGGTAAAGTTACACATTTTAGGCGCGCGGGTGAACCCTTCACAGGGATTCGCCTCCTCGGGTGTTTAAACGCGAGGTAAAGTTACACATTTTGCGGGCGCCGTGCAACCCTTCACAGGGTTTGGGCGCAGCTCAAGTGCATTTTGCAACCTTTCACAGGGATTTGCATTTTGCAACCCTTCACAGGGATTGGCATGGTCGAATGCACGAACGCTAGGTAAAGTTGCATTTTTTTATGTGCATTGAAATGAATTTTGCAACCCTTCACAGGGATTGGCGTGGTCGAGTGTTCGAACGCGAGGCAAAGTTGCAATTTTTGATGTGCATTGAGATGAATTTTGCAACCCTTCACAGGGATTGGCGTGGTCGAGTGTTCGAACGCGAGGTAAAGTTGCAATTTCTGATGTGCATTGAGATGCATTTTGCAACCCTTCACACGGATTGGCGTTGTCGAGTGCTCGAACGCGAGGTGAAGTTACACATTTTGCGGTGCTCGCGGAACCCTTCACAGGGATTGGCTTGAGAGGGATTTGCTTCTTCGATTGTTCTAATCGGTAGGTGTGCAACAGGTGAATTGGCAACCTTTCAGAGGGATTGGCAGGATTGGCAAATGCATATATCGATAAGAATAATATACTCATATACACATATATATATATGCATAAATGCATAAATATATATATATATATATATATATATATATATATATATATACATATATATATATATACCTGGGAAGGGCAACCTCCGTTTATAAACAGGCGCACTCACTTCCTGCTCAAGAAGTGAGCGTTGGGTCCAAAAGTGAGCGTTTGGCCAAACATCTATTTTTGGAGGCTCAGGGTTTCAGACTTCGTGGTTTCAGGGCACCGGGGGCCGATATGCATTGTGATGACCTCAGCAAGAAATGCCGGCATAAATCAAGATAAGCACTGTGAGTAGGGATAACGATTGACAGAGAATCATCTTGGAATTGTTCAGTTCCGGAAGTCTACCCCCGAAATATTACTCTAAGTGATCAAAAGCTCCATGCGATTATGGCTTTTGTGCTGCGGCCGCACGAGCTCTGCGCTGTCTGCGACTCCAGGACCGAACCTGGGCAACAGCTTTGTAAGCTTCAGAGGCATTAGATAGTTTCCGCAAGATTTGCAGTGCTTTTGGAATTTCTGGGATGGACCTGCAAAGATATCGTGGTGGAAATCAGGTTCCTGATGACCCGACAAATTAATTCCATAATCACACTAAAAATCGAGACAACTTGCGGCAGAGTAGCTCGATCAGTCCAGCATTGACAAATCCAGCATTGCAAAACTATCCTTGCTTAGGGCAGTCTGCATGAAGAGCAAGTACCTTTGAAGTGTTTTGATTGCCACGGCTCTTGTTGAGACACGCCTGGATAAGCGAGCCGTCCTTCCCACGAAGTCCTCCGACATGAACGTGGCTTCCGCAAGCGGGTTTACCGCAAATCCAGCAGCACGCCATTCTTCCCAAACCCGGAGGAATATGTGATTCAAGTAGTGAACCTTGGGTCGAAGCTTGAATAAGCACAGACGTCCACTGTAGCACGTGACAACGAGCTGCCCATAGCCAGTCAGCACTGCATGCCCATTCCTTATCACTTCCTGGCAGTCCGCACTCGCCATGTAGTACTCCGCCCTCAGAGCCGTGCTGATGACCACACCGATCGCCTTGGCAGTCGCGAGGATCATTTTGAGAATGTCATCTGCTGCAAGTTTGGCCGCAAACTCTGGACGTTCCACCAACCAAATCACGAATTTGGTGAAAACGGCTGTGTCCATATTCTTTGACCACTTGCCTTCAGGATATTCTCGCGTGGAACTATAGCCCAGGAGGTCCTCGGTCACGCGACCACACGCCAATTTTTGCTTTGACTTCTTCAGAAAAACCTGCAATGATGCGTTCAGCTCCGATATGTTTTTTTCCACCGAGGACATTTCAAACAGTCGAAAGCAATACACCATTGCGGATGAACAGAAGTCCAAACCGACCCCAGCATGCCACACATGGAAGAAGTCCGCCGTGTAAAATGCAGCGGGCGTGTCATCCTTGTCCAGCGGCATTCGCCGCACAAGTGGAGAGCCTGACCCCTCCCATGGTAAGGGGTTGTTCAGCTTGCAGGTTTGCAGCCAGAGCGGCTCACTGAAACCCAGATGTTCAAAGGGATAAAAGATTCCTTGCTCCGGGTCGTCGTAACCTGCATGACAAAGCCAACAGCAGCCTGTTTGCTTTTTCTTTGCAGTGTGCCGCTTTCGCACATTGTGGAACGAGCGGGTGGTCTTCGCAACCTTTTTGACGAAAGGAGAATCTCCAGTAAAGCCCAAAATCGCGATGCGCCACGTGCTCCCGCCCACCTGAAAACCATCATCTAGGAGCCGCTGCAGTTGCTGACTCCATAGTTCAAGGATATCATCAAAGATAGTGTTGTCAGTTTTGGCCACTAAGCTGCTTAGAACTGTAAACAGGAACCTGGTAGCCCCCGAGCTGCCTTGCAGATTGATGCCCAGCTCGATTTCGTTCTCCACAGGCCTTTTTGAACTGAGGTCTACAGAATGCTTCCTCGACCCTGTCCCCAGAGCTGGAAACATGGATAATATCTCGATAGCCTCCTTCTTGAAGCCACGGCCCCCATCCCCATGCAGGTAGTAAGGGATGAGCCTCTGAAAATCAATATTGTTGGCATTCTCGAACAAGCTGTGCCGGGGGTGCAGGACTCGAAACTTGTTCCAAAATAGATCAAGACCCTCACTTGCCAAGTGAACCGGCAGACCCAAAACCCGATGGAAGTAGCCCGCATCACTCAAAGCTTCAAGCTGGGCCCTGGGGCTCAGAAAAGGATACCTGAAAACTTTCCCAGCTTTGCTCCAGCTAAAGTCAATAGGCAAAGTCAATCCATTCTTGCGTAGAATTTCAAACAGCGGTGCATCGGCATTGCTTGGTGGCACCTTTGCAATCTTGGCCAACACTTCGCAAGGATCTCGCTTCACTGCTGCCTGGGCATCGATGACCAGATCCTTTGCTGCGACCTCGGCACAGCAGGCTGTAGACTGTTAATCAAAGAACTCATGCAGGATCCGTGTCATTGCTATTTGCAGACGTGCCGAAGAAAATGCACTTTTGCATCGCACTTGCAGCTTCGAAGCTCATCTGTGTGAAAGCACACATAAGCCACATGTGCCACAAAACCAGAGCACATCATCCTAGGATGGGCTTGCATTGCGCAGCATTTGTAGCTGCACAGTATGCATAGTAAGGTGGCGGGAACCTTGGCACAAAATCTTTAGTGCGCATACTCTCCCCACCCAGCCGAACGTTTCGGCAACACCGCCCATTGTCGTGAAACTGTGCAATCAGAGCAGCTTCCAACATCTCTAGCATGCCGAGCAGTTCGGGTCGCCAAACTTTGTGTATCACGACGAAGTTCTGAAAGTTCTGCTGGAGGTAGCTAGCTCTGCGCTGAACCGGGTTGGAAGTAAGGCCAATCTTGAAGACGCACAACGAAGCACCACCGTTTTCTGTTCTGACAGCATCGACCACCCGCAAGCAGTGTAGTAGAACTTTCGAAGCCAGTGAAGTTTCCGCGATTATTCTCTCATCAAGGTGAAAGCTCGAATCGGGGGAGTTTGGCGAAGGAGGCTCCCTTGTGCTTGCAGAAGCCCATGAAGCACCAGAGACATCCATATCGTTGTCACTGTGATTCTGCACAGTCATATCGTCTTCAGAATCAGTCCATGGAAAGATATCCATCTTTGTGACAGGGTCTATACATGCCATCTGACTAGCACAGACACACACATGCAGTACTCTAGAGGGCTACCCTGTGCACTGCAAATGCGCTGCAAAGTCCAGGAGCAGATTCATCAAAACGTTTGTTGATTCTGCTTATGGATCTGCAAATTTCTGTGCCTGCACACAGGAATCATCCAGGGCATGCCGGCTTCGATGAGTTGGGGCCCCGGCGCCCTTGCCATATTTCACCGCAATGAGATGCACCTGCTCACTGATGCCGGCCGGGACATAGCTGCCTGACAGGTAGGAGGTTTATTCATAGCAGGATTACCAGGGTAGTTCATTTAAGTACAGCACCAGCCGACACATTATGGGAAACTTCCTAGACAAATTTCGAGGGAGCTAGCTTATCTACATCGATCACACGATTGTCTTAATGTTATAATTATAGAGATATCTTCGGCAGAGCTTGGGGCGAGGTCTTAACCAGATATCGATAAACATCTTATATAAACTGATTTGGCGAAGTAGTATACTTAATGAATCAATATACTTCCTAGGGCATGGGCTAAGGGATGGCTCAGCAACACAGTTTTTAGCTTTCCGATGTCTCAGACTCGCATGCAGTACATAGCTGAACCAGCCCAGGAGGTTCCACTCCGATACTGGTTTCCAAACACTTTACCCAAAGGTCTTAAATTAAGATATCTATAGTTGGGTGATGTACTACATATGAGCTGCAGGCACTGCCCTCCAGCAGAGACTTTCCCACATTAGGCTGCTTTGGTCGTCCCCTGGTTCTGCATGGAACTTGCCCACCAAGCACACTTCTGAGGGCGCTTGGATCGTGAGCACCGTAAACTAGCTAGCTAGCCTCAACATCCAGACCGTTCGATGTTATTGGACAGCTGTCATATACTGCGTACCCAGTACAATTAATTAACAGCACGATGGCCTACATTGCTTGTTGAGGCCGCCCAACCCAATTCACACACTCAGGTGTGAAACAGAATTTGTCAGTAGAGCCCTGGGCTTCCACTGAACCTGTGCATCCCAGCCGAAACACATCACACCCATGCAGAAGCATAATGGAATGACATGTGATGATGGATCTACATAAGAGCTAAAAAGGTAAATTTCTGAATAGCAGCACTAAAGCGACAGAGGCACGATGTGTCGATGGCAAAATCAAATCTGCATGAAAATGTAATGGACGTCTAAAGCATCCTCGCTCCTCTGCTACTGTAGCATCGAAGCAGCTAAATCTAGATCAGACCCATCCAATCTCGGCGCCGAGATTGAGCTCATTCGTTTGATGTCTTCGCGGCCTTGCGTGCCCTCGTCAGAATCTGCCTTTGCGACACGGGTCGGCTTGTCTTTACATTGGGGCTACCGCCTAGCTAAAAGGGCTTCCAGGGTTACTTATATGGTTATATAATTCTTTTGGCTCATGGCACGACGGGTTGTCTATAGAACCATGCACCCCCTATAAAGGTACAATATGGCTTAAGCTTTCCAGGTTGTTGGCTTCGGTGATTGTTGTGAGGTGCTCACACCAGACAAAAGCACAGGTACAACCGAGTATCATCCGTATTGCACAAGCTTGTCTATAGGATCGATCAGCTAGGATCCAAGGTACGGTGAACTGTGCGTGTTCGTAGCTCAGGAACAATCAAGATTTAGTGTACTGGGGGAACCTAGCCTATGCACATCAATCATGGACATCGGGCCATCATAGGTTTTCATTACCCCACTGTACCTTTTCTTATGTAACCCAAGGATATACACAAGCTGGCTATACATCAATACTATAGATGAAACGGCAGCAAAAGCCTTCATAATATAATGGTCGATTTGGAAGATTAGCACCCACCAAAGTAATTGCATGATTCTTGCCCGATCACGTTCCTCAAGCATTGTGGATGGCTTCTGACAGGATCGAGACATTCAGGAGTTCAGGGGCCTTGGTTTAGGGTCTTCCTTGGTTGGTGTTGTTGTGTGAAGTTACTTCGGCAGGGTCAGGTGAGGGGATTCAGAGGAGGTGGCATGTGGACCAAACACGACATTAACCTCAAACACCAAGCTCCCACTACACTATACTATAGCTCTACATAGATTTTAGAATATTATATAATCACTCTCTAAAACCCCGTATCCCCATCATCCCGGTACTGTAGCCCTTTTCCCAGAAGAGCTTCAAGGATTTCAGTAGAATGCTTCCAGGACACGTAGGCCCAGGTTCAGGGATCTTTATAGGAGTCCAGAATGGGTCTACTCTGATCTAGCTGGTTTAGCCTTGGATTAAGGTCGATCGACTGCTTATAGGCACCTATGTTCAAAAAAGCCCAAAGCATGGGCGGTTGCTGGTTTGCATTTGCCATGGTTTTGCGACCAGGAATAAATGTTTGTATAAACAATGGGTTCACTGCCTATAGGGAACTTGAGACTTGGGTGTATGGGTATAAAGGCCGGTGGCATCCTAGAGATAGTTTATATGCAGGGATCGAGCCCATCCAATGTCTAGCCTGGAAGCCCTAAGGGACGTAACCGGCATATTTGCACGCAACCCAATATGGCATTGTGTCGTAATAATCTTGGGCCTCGAAACTTCCAGAAGTCCAATAGCTTAAGCAGAAGACCAATTAGCAACATCGTACGGTGGAAGAACGACAACGGAATAGTGATCCCGAGCAGCAACCCCTGTAGGATCCGGGAGCCAGACTTGTTAGCGGCTTCCAAGGAAGTCGCCTTCGACATCCTTGGATTACCGTGCTCCGAGCTCAGACCGGGTATTGCAGTGGTCAATCGACATCGGGATTGTACATGGCACGTGCAATGGGCTTTGGCCGGGTTTCAGCTTTTGAGCTTTGGTAAAGAACGCCTTGCATTCATCCTGCAGCCTGAGTGCCAGAAGCTCACGAGTAGAAGGATTCGAGAGCAATGATAAGCAAATTCCATCTATATGCATATTGTCAGACTGCAGCCCGGCAACTTTTGGGTGTAGCCTGATGTGTTACCTTCAGCCCTGGCCTCCGACATTTCTTCATACAGCGTGTCGAAGTCCTTGATAAGGCCAGTCATCTTGCCGAGGGCCCTCAGACCAACACATGTGGCACTTGAAAAGATTGGTCATAGTTGCACACACACACAGACACACGCACACGTGCATGTGCATCGATCGATCTATCTATTTGAAGCCAATGTGCCCTGCAGCCTTTGCATCACCAGAAACCGCGGCCTTAATCTTGTCGACGAAGTTTTCAAGTGAGTTCTTACTCTTGAGCACCTGCTTCAAGTACTCCTTCATTTGCGATGCAACCTGAGATTTCACCGGCTGCGCAACATCAGGGCACAATGTTGCAACAAACACCCCAGGTCTGCATGAGGCACCGCGTCTCCATGGAAAGCATCCGAGAGGCACTCTTGTGGTGATCTCCCTCAAGATTCTTAGTGCCCTTGTGGATCATCCGGTCATCATCACTGAAATCAAACCCATCAAGATGAACCTCCGGCTTGAAAAGCAGGTCATCACCGCCTTCACCTTCATACTTTCTCTCCCGCTGCATCATCTCCAGGTCCTCCTTCGTCATGGTGCCCAGCGTCCTTGTGTTCACCCAGTACTCCAGCGTCTCATCATCGTATTCACATGTCCTGGGTTTGCTTTTGGGGAGGGCAGACTGGTTCTGAAATTACACATATGATTTTGAGGATGGGAGCTGTTATGATTGGTGCACATGCGACAAGGGTCGAGAAGAAGCAAGAAGTGCAAGTGAGAGAGTGAGAGAGAAAGATAGAGCGAGAGAGAGAGAGAGAGAGAGAGGGAGACAGAGAGAGAGAGAGAGAGAGAGAGAGAAGCAAATACCACCAAAAAGACGGACCAGCTAGGTCACCTAAATTGATCGCCAAGAAGCAACCCTGAAGAACCACAGATTGAGGGAAAGAGAGAGAGAGAGAGAGAGAGAGAGGGAGAGATAGAGAGAGAGAGAGAGAGAGAGAGAGGGAGAGGGCCAGAGAAAGATGAAACGAGCCAGACACAAACCGCGAGCGAATGCCACCGAGCTGCCGAACGAGATTGTTCTTCTCAGCCCAGGCAACTATCTTCTCGATTCTGGACCTGGGATACACTTCGCACGGTTGCTTAGCTGGGAAAGCAGCTGTATATCGATGCATTCATCAGTGCTTTAAATTGATTACAAAGGCATTTGACAGGAAGAGTCTGTGCAGCTAGGAAGCGTTGAATATCCAAGTTCAGATTTCATATCTTCTCAGGAGTAAAAGCCACCTTTGACCTCAAGCTTCTTGCTCCGTGTAGTTCTCGAGAAGATCGTGATGGTGTCGAGGAACACAGCCTGTTGGGTTGGTCATTCTAGCTGTAGTATGCATACAATTGAGGCCGCCCAATGTTCATGTGTAACACACAGAATTGTATGTGCATGATATATGCATGCATGACTGATGAGCTAAACTTACGAGGAGCGCGGCCACAGCATCATCTAGTTTGGAAAGAACACTATGCATGATCGTAAATAAATATAATGCACATGTGCATTATTTAGCACTGAAAGCCCTCCCACCTTCACCCCGCCGGACTTCGCCCACATTCTGAAGAGGGTCTGACGTCCTTTGGCAGCGTCCTTCCACATCTCGAAGATGTCCTCAGGGACCTCCAAAGTCCCCGAGCCTTTCTTCGGGGAAACCACCCTGCGGAGTTTCTCCTTCTCGAGCTTATCGAGGGTTTCGGATTTCAGAACTCTGGGGGTTTCAGAGTCCTCATCAGGCGCCTGGCTCGGGGCACTCGGGGGCTTGGGGTTCTTGACAGGGGTCATAGGATGCGATCGTTTGGAGCCCCTGGGACTTTGATCCATCCGCACAACAGCAGCTGAAGGTGATTCCTTCTGCTGCTGCTTCTCCACAGCTTCCTGGGTCGGCTCCTGCCGTGGCTGCGCATTCTGCCCATCCTTGTGCGATTGGCACAGGGCCGGGGCTCACTTGCAAATTGCAAATATTGTGCATTGTATGGGATGGATCGACAGCATGCATTCGTGCATAAGATCATGCAAAACAGCCATCGACAGCCTGGCAGCTACTACGTAAATTGCGTCTGGGAGTCCTGGTTCTGGCTCTCACGGTCACGGAGCTTCTGGAGCTCAGTCTGCTGCATGAGCATTGCGGCTTGGAGTAGGCTGAACTTCTGCAAGAGCTCCTGTTCAGTACATCTGCAGTGTTCGATCTATATATGCATGTCAGCTAGTCGATCCAGATTAGCACAGAATCACTGCCCAAATTGAGGATCGATGTATGCATGCATGCATACAATAATGCAGATCTCGACCTCCCTCTGTCCTGATGCAGAGGATCGGATGCCGGCGGCTGCGGCGTGCTGGGAACTGCGCTGGAGGCTGGCGTTGCTGGTGCTGGCAACGAAGAAGGCGTGGGCACGGGGGGCTCGACACCAGGTTCCTTCTTGACCTAAATGCATGCAGTTCATATAAAATCTGTAGCAGGACACATCAAATTGGCATGCATGGTATGCATGCACACTGCACATGCACAACATGGAAAGGATCGATGGAGCCATGAAGCTGTGTGCCTATTTCAGCACTAGGCCATGCAATCATACTCCAAGCCCAGGCACTGGCGCCAACTGCATCTTTGCGAGCTGACTCTCTGTGCCGGGCTCGGTCTTGACATCCGCGGTTGCGATGCTGATGGCGGACTCAAGCTCCTATTGCAATATTGTATGATTCGATCGAAATAGATGGACATGCACACACGCACCAGAGAGGAAACCGGCTTTGAAACGTATAGTCTATGCGACTCCTTTGCCACAAGCTTCAAGGTTTCCAGATCACCGCCCGAAGCCGACCGCAGCAACTGACCAAGTCCAGACTTCAAAGTGTCTGCTGAATGAACATCCCTGCTCAAGGCCATGGCTGCGCTCGAAACAGTTCCAGCTTACACCCTTGTGCTTCAGGAGAGCACGTGTTTTGCGCACGCAAAGTGGCACAAAATCTTATCAACATGTGTCCAAAATCAGAACCAGGCGTTGCGTGGGCAAAAGTGAGTGTGGCGTGGGCAAAAGTGAGTGTTGCGTGGGCAGAAGTGGTTGTTTGGAAATCACGAATTTGCATAGATCCGACATAGTCGCGTGAATTGGCCACAAAGCACGCAAACTCGGTTCAGGTCTGAGCCGCTGAAGCCCACAGGCCGCACATTCAAGCTCCACGAGCAAATAACCCTGCAACCCCAAAGCCCGCAGCAGCATATTTGCAACCCGCAGCCCTGAAACCTGAAACACGCAGCCTTTGAGCCCACACAAGAAAGCACAATCCGGCCGGGATCTGAAGCCTGAAACCCTGCACACCCGGCAAGCATGCTAGCTGCAGAAAAAGACTTCGGCCTCGAGGCGCACACAAGCCTGAGACACGCAACCCTGAAACCCGCAACCCTGAAGCCCGAAGCCCACAACCTTGAACCCCACAGGTCTCAAGCACGCAACCCTGAAACACAAAACCCTGAAGCACGCAACTCCGACCTGAAACCCGCAACCCTGAAACACGCAACCCTGAAGCCCGCAACCCTGAAGCCCACAACCCTGAAGCCCGCAACCCTGAAGCCCGCAACCCTGAAGCCCGCAACCCTGAAGCCCGCAACCCTGAAGCTCACAACCAAAGCCCCCAACCCTGAAGCCTAAACCCTGAAGCCCGCAACCCTGAAGCCAGGAACCACGAAGCCCGCAACCCTGAAGCCCGCAACCCTGAAGCCCACAACCCTGAAGCCCGCAACCTGGCCTGCATGCATGTCCACACACAACCCGGAAGAACGCAACCCGGAAGCACGCAAACCGGAAGCACACAACCCGAAAGCACGCAAACCGGAAGCCCGCAACCCGGAAGCCCGCAACCCTGAAACACACAAGCATGAGGCATTGCAGCAAATATTAGGCTAGCTGAAGCACACAACCCTGAAGCCCACAAACATGCAACACTGAAGCCCGCAATCTTATATAATTGTGATCGATCGATCAAACTCATGATATGATCTTCGATCAATCGATCCCTTGACCACAACACTAGACTAGCCCTATACAGCCCAGCTCCAACAATGCTCCCGTAATCCTGGCCTATACAAATCTGAACCCTGAAAGCCCTCCACCTAATAGCACACACGCACTATCAGGCCTATCTATTGCAACCCGGAACCGAAAGCCCAGAGCATGCTAGAATGGCCAAACCCAGAACCCCGACCCTTTAGCTCGATCGAGATCCTATAGCTATAGCCAACTGTAAAACCCGCAACCGCTTCATCACACAGGGGAGGTTAGCTACGCAGAACCTGCAGCTCTAAATTGGAATTGTCTACGTACACAAGACCCTGAAGCCCAGAACCAAGTAAGATCAGCTAGCTCTACATAGCTAACGTTCCCTAAAACTCGACCCATCTAGGCACATCTGGATGGAGCAATCAGGAGCCTTCACTGCATCATTCATGCATGATTCAGTTGAGCTGTAAAGGGCACGATTTCGTCTTTGATCGATATGAACGCACTCATGTGCCACTAGCTGGAAATTTACATTAAGCTCGACTATAGAATTATATAAGCCAGCAAAAGAAACACGCAGGCCCAGTCACGTGGCACACATGCATGCATGCATGCCTACCTTACAAAGATCGAGACCCCGTCAGTACAGCCAAGCGAGAACCTTGCTATAAAATTAGGACCACTGCGTGCGCAATTCACGCTTGTGTTCATCTGGAGTTGGAACAAGTCCACGTACAGCACTGTGCTGGAAAGATCATGCATTCATGAAGCCAGCAGCAGTTTTAGTGAAGCGTGCACTCCTATATAGATCGACCCTGTCACTGCATGCATGCATGCATGCATGCTTTCCAGATTGGACTGAGGCTTTCGGGTTTCAGGCTTGCGCGGCTCAAAGGTTGCGGGTTTTGGGCTTGCGGGGCTGAAGGGCCGGTTGCAGGTTTCGGGCTTGCAGCAAAAGGGTTCCGGGTTTTGGGCTTGCGGGGCTCAAGGGTTGCGGGATTCGGGCTTGTGGGGCTCAAGGGTTGCGGATTTTGGGCTTGCGGGGCTCAAGGGTTGCGGGTTTCGGGCTTGCGCGGGGTATTGGTTATGGGGCAAAGGGCTTTGGCAGGGCCTACCAGGGCTGAGAACTGAAACTGCAGGAACCAAGACCAGCTCCATAGTTCGATCGATCTATCGAGGCTACAGCGCAGACGAATTTTCTGAAGGCTTGCAGGGCTTCTTGGCCACAAGCTTCTGTCCTAGAAGCAGCTTAATGTCAGAATTGCGTATGACTCGCGATCATATATGCACGTGGCCGTCGAAACCTTGCACCATGTGCATGCATGCCCGACTTAATTGCCGTGACACATGTGCCTATACGAACACAGGTAGTGCGCCGACAGTGCTCGAATTACATACACACATGCAGACACACACCTGCATGGCCATGCAGCTAGCATATGTGCATGTGCAACAACACATCCCTGCACGCATGTATATACAACGCACGTATACGCATGCATGCATGCCTGATATAAATTTATAGACTACACTACACATGCGCACCAGACCCGTGTCTCAACTTAGCCAAAGAGGCTGCTAGGGAAACATACCTTCCATTGCTCGGGGATACGCAAGCCTTTGGCTCCATAGACATAACGAACCAGATCCCAAAGGCCCGCATCAGCCCAATCATCCTCACCCATGTCCAAGCAGCGAAGCTTCTCTACCGTGGAGGCATCCAGCATCGCCGTGGGGCGCAGTGGCGGGGACTTCATGACGAGCGGCAGCAACTTGGCCATCTCTCGGCTGAATGCTGGCGTGTAGGTCCTTGGAGAAGGAAGGGCTAAGCTGTGGAGGACCTATATGTAGGTGTTCTGTACTTCAGAGTAGGACTGTATTGAAGCAGCTAAGGCTGTGTCTGGGTGCCCTTCAATTGATGGTTTCCTGTGTAGGACTTCCGACCTTGTTTGGTGATCTTGCGGGTCACTGGTTGAACATCACCATGACGAGCCCTCGCTGCTTGCTTATCGGCAGTGCATAGCGTCCCCCTGTTGAATTTAAGTACCTTGGGGCTGCTGCTCCAAACCACTGTCCGTTTCGGGCAGGAATGCCCCCAGTGCATCATCCAGAAACGGGAAACGTACACCTGGGGCAGGCAAAACCATAGGGCTTGAAACGAAGGGTGTTTTGGGCTGTGCCTAGAACGTTATATTATCTATACAACACATCGATCGATCGAGGTCTTATATTGTTTGTGAAGATTCTACCTGGCCTGGTGTGTTCTGCAAAACCATTGAAAGCGAGGGTGTCGCCAGACTAACGAGGAGCCCGGCTGCTCGATCATCCAGTTGGCCCCCAAAGCCACGCAAAGAAGCGAGACAAGAATAGTCCTCCCAGGTGTGGCACTACGGATCTTTTCAGGCCCGTGACAACTTGAGGGTTGTACTTTGGCTTCTGGGGGGCGGTCTAGCTGTACTGTGATCATGCGTGATCGGTTTATCATTTGCAACACGAGCAGAAATAGCAAAACAATAAACAAATTTAGGGGAACACATTGTCCTGCAAAGTTGAGCATTGCCCATGGCTACGAAGGGTAGCTCTTCATACCCGCAAGGGTTCAGGAAACATCTCATGCTCGTCGCCTTGCATATCGATACCCAGCTGCTGCACTGTAGCCCTTGCCACAAAGTGAATCCTGAAGATCGCCCTTTCAGAACTGAAAGCAGGTGCAACCTCAGCTCCAACTAGATAGTCTGCATGGTACAAACATCGTTGCAGTGCTTGCGTTGCATGACTTTGTCTAAGATCCGATCGCGAACCCCGGCGGAGTGCAAATGTCCATGGAATGGTGGTACTTGATGTCGAGCTTAGCAGTATCACGTCCATGTGCTGCCTGAATCTCCTGAGACATCACCGCCTCCCCAGCATAATGCTCCAAGAAGAAGAAGTCCTGCATCAAGGTGTTGAGCTTTTACATAAAAGGTTTGGAGCTTCTAGGGTTTATCGGGCTTGTATCATCATCTAGATCGATCAAGATTACCCAGCTATGCTGTGCAAGCCACGGATAATGTCGAATCACTCGCCTGAGAAACATGCTTCCGAACAGCTGTGCACCCCTCCTTGTCAGAGGCCTTCGTGAAGTTTTCATTGAAGAGGAGGCAAAGCACCACGAGGATGAAAGCCTGCATGAGATTCATATTCGAGTTTGTTTTGCACATGCATACCACTCGATCATTACATGCTTTTAGGGAACATGTCCGCACTGCAGAATGCATGTGTGAAGAGCATCACTTCCTGCATTAATTCAGATATGGCATCGGTTGGGTCATGATGTTGCGGGGGGTCGGCCAGGAACAACATGATTGATCGAAGTCCGAAAAGCTTGTTCCACTTAACCCCATGGATCTCCCACTGGCCTTTGGAGCTTGCAGCCTCATGAGGTTGTCCACAAGTCGGAACAGGTCCATGGCCACAGACAAGGGCCCAAAGGCTTGGGGTGAAAGTATGCACTAAAAAGAAACGCTGCAAAGAAACATTTGCAATCCTGCTTCGATCATACAGAATTCACACGCAGCTTCTGAAAATGTGCATCGATCACAGCAATTAAAGCACTTGATCCATGTATGTTCAGAAACCGTCCTGAATCTGAAGAGTGTGAGGCGAATCAGTCTACAGTCTATAGTTTTCATGCAGCTTAAGACCTCCCGTGCCTGATTCCGACGCAAGAGTTTCTTCACCATCAGAGCTGTCAGGACGTCGCCGACGAGCTGCCATCCAGAAGAACCTGCGCATCGGGACGAGCACTTGCTCAAGCAGAACTGTGGCAAGGACACACACGGCAGCAGAAAGTTACATGTCGACCTTGCATAGAGAGAGCACTACATCGGCACTTTTTGAGCTGCAAGCACTGCCGCACCGATGGCTAGTCTAGCCTGCACACATGGGAACTGGAAGCCTTGAAAGGGATCCTTGGCACAGGCAGCCGACCCGGAACTGCATCATTGTAACAAGCCATCTAGCCAATTGCAGTATATAGCACGATTATAAGGTTCAAAGGTGGCTGTGTATTGCAGTTCTTTGCAAACTATCTAGGTGATAGCCACGGGACTCTTACAGATGCAGGTGCCGGCTCCTGGCGCGAAGCAAAACAAATGGCCCGACACGGCTGCTGGCTGCTGCGAGAGGTTCTTTGCCCCAGGGTCCCCCCGCTGCAAGCAACCCATGTACTCACTCGATAAACACATCAGTGAGCCGAGAGCTTCGCAAGCTTTGCTTCGTACTGCTTGCGAGTGGGGCGCTTTGCCCTGTTGAAAAAGCTCTGTCCCTCATCAGACCAGGTCTTGCCTCGAGAGTGACAAACCATGTTAGGGGTCGAGATGTATATATGAGCCATGAAGCCAGTGTGCTGTTTTGAATGCAAACAAGAAACTGAAATCATCATCCGCCAAGAAATCATAGGCCAACTTGTGCACTGCTGGGCGCCAGCCATCTTCATCCTCCGGCTGCTCCTCCATCGTCTCAGCCACAAAGCGCCACCACTCACCCTGCAGAAGCATGGAATCAGCACGTCAATATACATGCAAGGCTCATGAACAGAAGCTCGAAATCATGTAAGATCAAAAGCCCTTTATAGCAAAGGCAGTACAGCTAGCCTCCATCTTCGAATGGTTGGTGAGGAAGACACGCATGTGCTCGTTGTACGTGTCCCGAACCGCAAGGAACTTGGCCTGGTAGTACTTGCGCTTGGGATAGTAGCGACGGGCAAACGTCGGGATCTCCTCCTCGTCGCCTTCGGCCGGCTCCTCGTCTTCGGCCGGCTCGTCTTCGGCCGGCTCGTCGTCTTCGGCCGGCTCCTCGTCTTCGGCCGGCTCTTCGTCTTCGGCCGGCTCTTCGTCTTCGGCCGGCTCCTCGACCGGCTCTGCGGTCGATTTGGCCCTGGTCTTCCGCTTGCCTGTCACACGCTTTGCCACCACCGGCTCGTAGTACTCCGTGGCATTGTCCGGTTCATCACCATCATCGCCGGTCTCACGACTTTTGAGCTTCTTCATCCTCCGCAACTTCTTGAAGCTTCGCGATCGGGCGAGCTTGCCCTTCTTGCCCTTCTTGCCCTTCACGTTCGGAGGAGCCTCCATGGCCGCATCCGCATCCACATCATCACCGGGCTCCTCATCCATATCCATCTCCTCGTCACCCCCCGCCTTGCGCTTCCCCTTGGTCGCCTTGGCCTTTGGCCGCCCAGGCTTGCCCTTTGCCGGCTCGGCCTTTGCAGCACTCTTGGGCTTTGGAGTGCTTTTGGCCTTGGCTTTCGCCTTGGATGTCGCCTTGGCTTTCGCCTTCGGTTTGCTTTTCGCAGCGGCTCTGGATTTCTGAAGGTCCTCCTCTTCCTCCTCCTCCTGCTCATCATCGGGGGAGATATCAGGCTTCTCACTGGGCTTCTTACCGGGCTTCTTACCGGGCTTCTCATCATCTCTCTCATCAACAGGCTTCTCCTGCTGAGTGGGTTTTTCCTTCTTGTTGGCACTCAGGGCGAGCTGCCTCGTGCGAGTGATCACCTCTGCTTCCTCAGATTAATGCCACATCAAAGAACCCAACAAGCATGGCAATACGCATTGTGTCGGAATTACCGGGCATTAGCACACAAGCAACACATATGGTTCAAATCACACTGCATTGCCAATCGTGAAAAGCAGCAGGCTTGCCAAGCCTTGGCTCACATTCTTCAAGCTCAGCCTGAAGCCGTCTTGCCGCAGCTTCGTGCTCAGCCCGGGCTTTCAACTCCTTCTCACGAGCAAGCGCTTGCTGAACCTTAGCAGCATCCTCTGCTCGCTGTGACTCGAGCCAGGAATTCACATAATCCTCCGGCCCCACATCCCAAGCTTGGGTCTCCGTGTTGTCAACTGAGGAGCCTGAACCTGTCAGGTTCAGTGTTGTGCATAATCTCTCGATCACGGGGCATACACAACACAATTCATGGATCAATGCACGCTACGGCCTCGACTGCCGGCTGAGGTTGAGCCTGCCTCTGAGGCATCCTCGAAGTTCAGCTTCCGCTTGATGCCCTTGTCCAGAATCAAGTGGTCTTTGGAAGAAGCCTGATTCCTGGGCCGAAGTTGTGATGCAAGACACAGCTTTCTGTTTTCTGCTTGATTTGTGCTACATACATGTCTATGCGCAATATAATCGTCAAGGAACAACTTGTTGTTGACAACGGCCAAAATCTCTCGAAGCTTGGCTGGGTCCATTCCGGCAAGCTGACGAGCAAGCCCAGACGACGTTGAAGGCGGAGTCACTCGAGCAGCGGCCGGCTTGTAGGAGATAAACTCCTCAACACATTATTGCGCAGACCTGCTTCCGAAGGAAACTCAAAGCAACAACCCCATACAAGCTAAACTTGATCAAGACTCTGGACTTCCAGGAGACAAGGGGTCGGGCACAGCTTTCTTTGGACTCTCATGTGCGTCGATCCCCTCTATGTTCTGGCTGTCGTCCAAAAAATCAGCCAGAACCTGGCTGTGAATCGCCGGATTGGCAGCCTCTGCAGCCTCAGGTGCACCCACAGGGAGTGCCAAAGCACCCTCCTCCACCGGGGCGCCTGGCGCCACCGGCTGTGATGCCGGCTTCTGTCCTCCACGACGGAGCCACTCATAAGACTCCGGGTTCAGAGAAATCCCCAGGAGTCTTTCCATCTCTGCCTGGGGAGGTGCCTTCAAACAAGCCTCAAGGGGTGAGGGCACCGACAATCGATCGGACGATGCTGAAGATTGACCGCCTCGCGAAACACTGCGATGCAAGCTTGCCCTCAAGGACTCATCATCAGCCATGTCGTCACTATCGACGTCCTCGTCTGTAGCACCAGACCCTGGCTGCTTGGGTGACTTCTCTAGTGCACAGCGGCCTTCCTGGATTGAGCAATCGAGGCAGAAATCACAAATGAATGGAGCCAGAACATATGTAAGAATCTGCAGAAACTTGCGACTTGCTTCATGCTAGTGTCTGAATACGCTTTCGACATAGCCTCAGCCATATCGAGAACCATTGCACGAATATCCTCATCCTGATCATGGTGGAATGACATTGTTTCAGGGCCTGAAAAAATCATAGCTATAGCTTACTGTCTGATCCATGGCACACGTGGTAGCTCCCATTTGGCCCATTTTCGTTTGATCATGGTCAGCATGCTCTTGATAATTTCCGCGGACTTGTTGATATTTCGATCTTTTCTCAACTTGGCATCTGTAGTCAACTGGTTCTCATCATCTGAATTTGCTTCATTCTCATAGAATTTGCGAACCACTTCCTTGATGAGGTTGATCGGCTTTCGGATTCTACCTGACTTTGCCATCTCACGAGTCATCGGACGAATGATAGATGCATTCAGTTTCGTATTCTCGAGGGAGGGAACGACATGCTTCCTGCCCTTAATGTCCAGCAGCAGAACATTTCGCCCTCGTGCACGTTTTCGGAGGCTTCGATGCTGTTCCCAAGCTTTCACGCATTCAAGGAAGGATAACTTGGCCATGAATCAGCGATACCGGATCTTGAACCCCAACTGCGAGCACCAATCTTTCCCCAATGTGCTTGCAACTTCAAGCCCAAACAAGCTCGCAAACGAAAGGGGGAGGGCTCACCTGATCGCCAGGAAGATGCTGCTGCCGCAGCGAAGCTGGATCGCCCCACCTGGCCGAGATGTTTCAGAGAAAAAGTCTCACTGGGAGAGTTGCTAGATGCAGTACACGTAATGCATGCCAGCACCACCGCATCGGAAGTCGAACTTTGCCAACGCCACATGCACAACAGGACATTCGTGGGTATGATTATTGTATCTACTTGTGAGATCACGTCTTTTTAGGTCCCTGAGTTTAGCCTTCAAGGTTGATTCAATGACCGAACTTGCTAAACTTTGGCGCCATATGCAAATACATCGGATATTCCTTTCCACGTGCCGACTGAAGTCTATCGATTGGCATCATATGGCCTACATGTGGCAACCTCAAAGCAACTTACATGAGCCCCAAAATGAGGCTTCAGGGACACAGCCCTGCAACGAGATGCCCTTTCAGACACGCTGCCCCGCAATACAAGAAACAGGCGTTTGCCCAAATCGTGAGCGTTCCCACAACCTCCCATTAATTACCAGGCGTTCGGGTTCACAGGTATAGATAGATAGATAGATAGACACATATATTCATGCGCTTGTACGGCGCGCACGCTGTCTTGCGACGGCGCACCGCGCCGCTGCCTGGCCGACGACTTCTGCAGGCTCGGAAGCGAGATTCGGGGAGCAGGCTTCACGGGGAATTGGCGTTCCGGATGATTGTCCATGTCAGCTTCTGTTGCAGCGAGGTGTCAGAGTCGTCGCCAGGTGGGATGTTTTGTGCTCTGAAGTGAAGTATAGCTGTCAGGCCGATGAGCCGGTGTCGCAGCAAAAGCTGCAAGAGCTGCGCGCTCTGCAGGCTCGGAAGCGAGATTTTTTTTTGCATGTGCCAGTCATCTTCCTATACTGGTGTCTGTTGCTTGCCTGCCTCGTTTGGCTCGAAAGGGACAAGAAAGGGAAAACACGTTGCAGCGTTTTGCATACATTGCAGCATCTTACTACAGCTAGTACGCTTCCTTGCCTGCCTTGACGCTGTCTTGCGAAAGGGCCGGTGTGGAGATTTTTCTCTGCTTATTCTCATCTTATCAGCTGGCCATACTTAGGACAGTGTTTGCCCGCCTCGACGCTGTCTTGCGAAAGGGTCAGTGCAGACACTTTTTCATCTGAACATACTTGTGACAGTGTTTTGCTTGCCTCGACGCTGTCTTGCGAAAGGGCCGGCGTGGACGCCTTTTTCCATCCCATGGCTGTGCTGCTGCGGAGGTTGCGCGCCGGTTATGCCGAGCAGGGCGAAGCCTGGCTCCGCACCGAGCTGGACAAGCAAAACCGAGAGGAGCTGCGTATGCTCGCCGTCGCTGCGGGTGTGCAACAGAAGTCAGCTGGGCGCTCGCTTACCAAGCCGGAGTTGTCGGAAGCTCTATCACAGAGTATTGTCGGGGAGCAGGCTTCATGGGGAATCGGCGTTCTTGATGATTGTCCATGTCAGCTTCTGTAGCGAGGCGTCAGTGTCGTCGCCAGGTGGGATGTTTTGTGCTTTGAAGTGAAGTACTTGGCGGCCCCGGGGTTTGCTATCTGTTTAGGGCACATGTGAGAAATAGTATGTAAAGCAAATGGAATTAGTATGTTCCATATGTGCATGTTAATGGACTTATATTTCATCGATGTATCACAAAACAGAAAGGTGATTTACTATTTAAAGCGGTCATTTACTATGTTCTTATGATGTTGCCCAAGTATTTACAGCACATAACAATTTTCGACCAGAAGATAGTAAGTATGATGGGGCAATTAGCCGTATATCTGTAATTGAACTTAGTGGACTTATCACAAGTCAGGCAAGTTAGGATAGCAACTTTATTTTGCATTCACATGGTTCGACATTGCTGCTCATGTCAACATATTTCCTTTGCTCGCTGGCCTCGTTGCCGAAGCAGGGCATGGGAAATATAATGCAGATCATGCACCATGGATGCCTCGCATATCTCGCAAAGTCGAGTGCTCAAGACTTGCAGGTCTCGCAAAGTCGAGGTTGGCCGTGATGTCGGTGCTTTCGCCCGATCTCATCGCCCAGGTGGACAGCATGCTGGACCAAGCCGCTGAAGGAGATCGGTTGGTCCGGACAGTGCAAGACTTGCTCCAACTTCTCAAGCAGAACAACTTGGTCACGAGCATGAGGCTCAGCCCCATGCACGTGGGCGTACACCCGAAAAACCGCGATGGTGCCGGGATTATCGCAGGCGACTGCTTGGAGTTGCTAGAGAATGTGCTGTCTGTCGGATTTGTTCGCGACCGCATCACAGCCCTGGCTGTGGAGATAACGGATGCATCCGTCCGTCGCTTCAACGAGGACCTCGTCCGAGGCTCCGGCGGCCAGCTGGGCGAGCTGGACGGTGACATGCTGAAGGTTGTGTCATTGGCTGGGTCGCATACAAATTTCATGCTGCGATTGTTGTCACAGGGGGCAGCTCTTTCTACTTCGGCGGCTTCGGTGGATGGACGGCTTTCATTAGAGAAAGTGGCCCGGCGAGACCCTGAGCTTGCCAATGCAGCCCGTGAGGGGCTGGTCTGGGATGTCATATCGAGGGAAGTCGCCACAAGATGGCCGCAGTTCCTGGGCCTCGTCCAATCGGCCATGAATGCTACGCTTCAAAAGCAGGAGTCCGAAATGCAGCTCTTGCATCGGGTTCATCGACTCGTCTCGGCCGTGGAGAAAGTTGACTTCTCCAGCATCAAAAAGCAAGCCTTGGCTTCCAAGCCACCTTGCTCGGCCTGCTTACCGGGCATTTTCTCATTCGCAGTCAAGCTCTCTGACTGCATATATAGATTTCATGCCATCTTGTTGTTTACATGCATTCCTGTTTGTGGTGTTGATGGTTTCGCTGAGGTTCTGTGGGGGTCGCGGCGGACACTTACTGTTGGAGTCAGAGCGATTCTTGAGAGCGAGGGGCCAGAGCAAGAGTATGGGTCCTGCATTTTGGGAACAATTGTCGCATGAACCGCGAGGATCAATCGCTATACCGTTTGTCCGTCATGGTCTGCTAAAGTTCGCCCTGAGCGGAGCCCACGATGTGTTTGCAAGCGATCTTCGGAAAGTGTGGTCGAAGGAGGGTTTGGACCAGGCGAAGACGGCGGATTCGTTGCTCTCACAGATCCGTGAGAAAATGAACTCTGCCGGCCTTGACCCGCTCAACAGCCCCGATGCCCTGCACATTCTCGGCATGACGGAAGTGAACATTGCCGCAAAGATTTTGGGGGTCGTGCAGCCGCAGGAAAAGCGCTACAAAAGCCTGCACGGCATAGCTCACGACTGTATGGTTTTGCTCAGCAAAATCAGCACCCAGGCACTCGAGAACCCGTGGGCCGACAAGGCCGAAGAGACGCCTTCGGGATCCGGCGATGCGACCACAGCACAGCCGAGCACGGTTGCCATGCGAGAGTTGCTTGACGATGGAACCTATGGTAACCCTGACGAGGTTATGCGAGAGGCAGGCTTTGAGGTGGGCTGCACGATCAAGCGAAAGAATGACAAAGACGAGTACATCATCCGTGGTGTGAAGAAGACTTATGTGCGAGTGGAGAACCAGTCCACTGGGGTCATAGTGAAAGCAAGCCTCGAATCCTTCATGAGCAAAGAGTGGACAAAGGTCGTTGCCAAGCCGCAGCCCTCCGTGATCGCAGACCTTACCCCCTTCAACCCGGATGAGAGTTTGGATTGGCAGGCCCACGTGTTTGTCGGTGCATTGTTGCAGGAGCTTCAGGGGCTGTGGAAGACGTTTGGATCGAGCAGTTTGCAAGGCAAGTTGAGCTTGCAGCTGAAGCCTTCAAAGGCACTCACGGCAACTGCAGCATTTCCGAAAAGGAAGCTCGTTCTCGTGCCGGTGACATCCAAGATTATCTTCAAAAACCCTGACGACACTTCGGGGATGCCTTCGGGGACACCTCTGCAGACAACATGGAAAAAAGACGGCAGGCTCTTCTTTGCAGTGTCCAGCAATCAATTGCCGAAAGAAGAAGGCGGGCACGGATTCCTCGCCCCGTATTTCGCAGTGCCCACGACTCCGGACGAAGAGCAGGCCAGTTTGGAGGAGTTCATGCACAAGGCTCCTCTCGCAAAATGGCCGTTGTTGCGCAACAAGGCAGCCATCAGCATCGGCGACTCCCTCTTGATCTACAAGCCTGTTTCGAAAGCGGCCGCGGAAGACCTTGAAGAGGCATCCCCTCTTGCTGCGAAACGTCGCCGGCTGAAGATGGGCTGAAGGGATCGCGAGTTTGCAGCATGCAGCTTCTGAAACTATGATATAGCCATGTATATATGGTATGCATGAGAATATGTTGGTGCGACTTTGTTGCATGCTGCTCAAGCAAGCATCGTGTATGAGCGAAGATTGAAATTGCCGGTTTCAATGGGCGGCAATGCATCGGTTTCAATCGGCATGCCTGGACGGTCATGCATATGCCAAAAGAGATTGAGCACATTGCTGCAGGCATATCATGCATGAGGTTGCAGTTTGCAGGCATTTGCAGGGCTATAGCAGCTCGCAATAGCCTCTGCAGTGCTTCATGCATGCATGGCTCATGGCATATGATGCAGCTTCTTTGTCGCTCTGCAAGTTTGCTCATAAGGCAGCTATATATAGAGCCATGCTAGCAACCCTGAGTAAGTAGCCTCGGTCCTTATGGCGGGTCTCATGCTTGAGATGAATCAGATGTGGGGCTTGGATCAAGAAACGGTCCAAAGCAAGCTCCGGTTGGATGTGAAGCCCATTCGAGTCCGAGTGAAAGCTTCGCCAAGAAGCTTGTCCTTGCCCTCAAGGTGAACTATATCATGGTTGAGGGCAGCTTGCCGTGCACTCGGGCATGATCTCCTCGATCGGAAAGAGTGCCGACACCCGAAGCTTTTGCATCTGCAGCTCCAACCACATTCC